ACACTCATCCTCTTTATTGCATAATTCTATTCTAGATTCATGTACTTTAGTAAAATATTGATATTTGTGGTAAAGGAAATAAATGAACATTAAGGACAGATGCAGCAAAGATACTTTTTAATAGAAATCTATGTAAAGAGCTAGGTTCACTTTATGCATAAAATGTCTCTGTCCTAATAGCAATTAATTGACTTTCATCCTCCTTCCCATTTCATGCACATGTATCAAAATAAAGTAGAGACTTAGTGCTTTCTTCTCTGTTATAAAATTTCTTTTTCAGAATATAGGTATTAGAAAACAGGCTTTTAAAAAATGCACTGTTCTTGAATTTTGCAGAAAATATGCGTGTTCGACTACAGTTTTTACAAAATGAGTTATCTGTTCATCCTCCTCAATATAAATACATAATTAATACATTGTATTTTAGCCTTGGACTCACTTTGATCGAAGATGAAAGCATGTTCTTATATGTTAACTTCCTAATTTGACTGATTGTTTTTTTGTTGTTTGACGTCCCTTTCGAGAATTTTTCACTCATATGGAGACGCCACCACTTGCCAGTAGAGAGCTGCAAATTTTGACCTATGCTCAGCACTCAGGGCCATCGAGCGGTGAGGAATATTTTTCGTTCCAACAGGTTCTCTGACATGAGACCTCGTATACGGTCTCATCCGAAGGAGCGGTCTTCACGTCACGAACTCATGTCGTAAGGATCAACTCCTTACACTGCACAACTCTAGTGCAAACGCTTTAACCATTGCGCTACTCTGAAAATGAATATAGTATTTGATAAAACAGCAAATTTTCACTCTACGGTATTCAAACATTACAAAAGTGACAACATTTCGGAAAGGATCATTCATTATCAATAATTTTCCGTTGCTGGCTTACTGACCGCGGTGTTATATTAACGTAGCGGACAATCGCTGGAAATAACGACTACTCCCTAAAACAACACTTGACATCAGTTACCCGGTACCGAAATCATTAATGTACATGTAATTTCCGTAGACTTTGAATAATCGCGTCTTGGTTTTGTTCACGTATCCGATCTGAATAAAAATTGTTTGGAAATGATTAAACTTTAATGTCTCTTAATTATTTTTCATCTTTTAAGACAATGCGATTGAAGGCCTCACGTGGGATAAGTTATACAATGGAATGAATTAAAGTCGATTAAAAGTTATTTGATTGGATTCAACATTGAGTTTCTTGCAACAGGTTTTATTATGCATTACTAGTGTGTCTTTCTGTAAACAACATGTACATGTACATTGTTGAACGCCTTGTTCTTGATTTCCTATGAAAGGTACCAGAGATACCTGGCGTTGTTACAGACGATTGATTGCTTATGCTGGGGAAATATGCAATGAATGATGCTCACTTCCTGCTAAAGAAGAAGAGAAGGTTTATTATTGAACTGATAACAAGAGATTAAAGATTTACGCGAATTCATAAAACCCCAGTAAGATCAAACGGAGCTAATGTCTTATCGTAATTTGTCTTGGAGCGCGGTATTACTCCCGCCAAAAACAGAAGAGTTCCTTTGACACTCAGAGAGAAGACATTCACCAAATGTTTTAAGCATTCTTACTTCGTGTGCTGTCGTTAGCTTAAGAACATAACTTAACACCGGGAAAACAAAGATTCCACAGCTTCGTCTATCAATAAGAATTATCTGAATATCAAACATGTTATAATCAAACACCGGAGAGCTCAGTAAAGGGAGGCAATCGCGAGCAGTACAGCCGCCTCCACCGTGCGCGACTTATCTGGTAGCGGGCGTTTTATGAGGTGATAATGATTTTCAGTTTTCTTCTTTGTTGAAATTCGACAACTGTTCCACGCAGATTAACGAGCGGGCACGCAGGGCTCCGTAAATCTGGTCTACTAAACGGCCATGGTTCTGTTTTGTTCAACTTCCCGTGCTCGGAAGACATACACAATTAATAAGGTTTGTGTTGGTTCCTTGTACCCGGCAGTGATCAAGTGATAGGAACAGTATATATCATCACTACAACCAACCACTGTACAAGGCATAAAAGACATTGTGTAAATGGCAGAAATAAAAATTATAATTATCTATATATTATACAATTATTGCTGGTTTTTGAGGTCAATACAATGGTTTAGCCATCTGAGGAGTACAATATTCACCGAGCCCTTCGGGCTCGGTGAATATTGTACTTTGAAGATGGCTAAATCATTGTATTGACCGAAAAAACAGCAATAATTGTTTTATTATATGATTCACTGATAAAATGATACAGCTCATTACTTGTTTGCATTTTATTAAGTCCTAGCAGCAAATACAAGAGAGTAGCAGAATTAAAATGTAAATAAACCTTACCAGTCGTATCAATTTGAATTTTTTAAAATCAATTTTAGCAGCCATGAAAGAAATATATAATGTCAGTCTTTTCAAAGGATAAATTTTGAAAGGAAGGAGTATTATCAGGGAAAACTGACTGCCAAAACGTAAAAAAAAATTGTTGATCAGTAAAAGTGTTGGAGGGGTGGGGTCCCTGCATCCCCTCTTACCACCCTCACCTAAAATATATATTCGCTTATGTTTTGTTCACATGAAAATAAAAATCATAGTCGTTTAAATAGCTTTCTAAAACAATTTGTATCAATTTGGAATTCCCCAATCTATTTTTAGATCAATGTAGAGGAAATAAATCCTTGTATTGACCTGGAACGTCACGTGCAGGTCAATACAACGTAATATTTTTCTAACATAGTTGGATCTCAGCCAATCAGAGAGATGGAAATTATTCAATCATATAATATATGAAATTATAGCATTTTCGAAAGAATTCTTGACTTTGATAAGTAGACAGCCGATCGCTATGTTCTATAGAAGTTCAAGATACCGTAATTATCACAGAATCTGTGTTGATCTTCCTGATATATGAACTGATATTTATGCACTTTCATTATGATAAATCTTTAAAGAGTTTATGTGCCTCAAAATTGTTGTCAATAAATTACAATTATATATATCATTTTCTCGAACTTCAAGTTACTGGTCTCCATCGACGCATAACAAACTGAAAGTGAAAACAAAAATTTTGCATTTAAGTCCTTCATTCTTTGGAGCAAGAAATCATTTTGGGATAATTTTCTTCGGAATATGAAGCGCACTACTTGTATTTAAAGAATTTTAAGAAAGATACAGTATTTGTCTGACAACTCGTATATTATGTTGTATGTTGTTTCATCCCCCGGAGATACTGTACCCAGTTGTAGCCATGATACGGACACTAGTGAATTAATCGTACTTGACGATTTAAGACTGATATGTTGTTTAAGATAATTTGAAAAATACTAGCAAATACTTACATGTATCAACGTATCATTGGAGAGTTGAAGTACCGCCTTTTCTAATTGTTTCTAAAGGTTTTGAGCATTTCTGCTTTATAATACCTTTGCATTTATTGTATTTCTTTGATGGTTGTATTTTTTCGAAAATACAGTTTTCTGCAAAATCATGTATACTTTTTCAAGTGCCCCTTTAGAGAACAATTAGATGTGGCACAATGAAGTTACCACTTCCTGTTGAGAGATGTTCGGGAAAATACACGTCCTGAATATCAGAGAACTGAATTTATCTCTTTTCTTTGCCGTCAAATTCTTTTGAAGGAAAGTTATAAAAAAGGAAATTCCTTAAAACTACTCTGAGTAACACGTCGCTCTCGTGCGTGTTCGATTGATGAATTGTGTTGCGTTCAATTTAGAGTGAAGCCTGACACGCTGTTACAAGCTTAGATATGAATTATGTAACAATTTTTGCAACAAAGAGTCTAAAAAATTCAAATACTTAGGTTTAGTAGAGACATCCGCTCGTAAAATTTTGTTAAGTAAAGACAATTTAGAAAGAGAGGGCTGCGTTCTATTCCCGGACGTTTTGTCATTGTCTGAGGGTGATCTGACAAAGCCCAGGAGAACTGGCGTCAGCTTCACATATAGCTCCATTTATTGTCTGTAGAAGTAAACTTAGTTTAATGTATTGATTGAACACTGAGTTTGACAACTTTACAGAGACAGCACTCTTTGTCTTTCTTCAAGGCGCGTTTTATAATGTTAAGTAAAAAACTAAAAATAATTTGTGTTCTCAAGATTTGTCCTTAATTTTTATTTGAATTCGAAGTTGTTAAGCTCTATTAATACAGATGAACGTGTTTCTACCAATTTACCCAAAAAGTTTGGACATGCAACATTCCCGCTTCTACTTATAGGAAACCTTCACAATGACAACTTGTAAATAAATGCCGTTGTAAAGAAATTAAAAAAAAAAGATGACGTCACACGTCACATGACGTCCCGGACACATTTAAAACAAGCTTTGAAAATGCTGGAGGAACCAGGAAATACTAGTTTATCAGAAGTGAGCCATCAACTGGTATTTAAATGGCAAGTTTTCAGTGGCAGAAACTCGGAATCAGAAATGGGCAGTCTGAGAAGAAACTTGTCAAAAAAGTGTTAATGACGTCATAAAAGTGTTGAACGCATCCCTATCCATGTTGTCGAAGCTGTAAAATCGTAGATACATAGGAAAGAAATAAAAAGCAAGGAAAACTAACTTACAACTGTTATCAAAATACTAAGATAAGGCGATGTAGACAAGTGTGAGAAATATTCTGAGAATCTTAAATGACATTATTTCTTACGTTGCACTCGTAATGAATTGTAACTTCACACATCGCCAAAATAAATGTTTTGGCGTATGACAATGTGTTGATTTTATTTTTTTTATTTGTAAAAAGTATTAATAATATGAAGAGTGACATCGTATCTACATATTTGAATGACCCTCGTGATCAAATTTAGCCTTTTTTCACTTAATATACAGAGTTTCACTTGATGTACAGGGTATTCTTTCTTGATATGTTTTGTTTTTACGTATGTCTAATTCTTAATCTGGTGACGAAACCAATGCGATATTTATTCGTTTTTAGTTTAATATCATATTTGAAAATTTGTTTTTGTTTTTATAGATGAATCGCCCAATCCAGGTCAAACCTGCTGACAGTGAAAACAGAGCGGGTATGTCCGTATGTCTGTGTGTTGTACGATTGTACGCATGCGCTTTTTCCTTGGGAAATAAAGTTTCTTTTGCATGAGTGTTCCGTTTTCAATAACGTCATTTGTCATTAAATTTAACCCCCCACCCCACCTCCTCACCCACCCACCCCCACCCCCAAAGGAATGAATAATCATACTCAACAGAATTTTAAAAATAATCCTATTTTTTTTTTATATAATTCTTTTTCTATAACTTTTATAACACTGGCAATATTAAGAAAAACGATGCATGGTGAGTTAGCAAATACGCTTAAAAAGAAATTGCGAGAATAACAAAGATAATCATAGATGCATCTTTACAATTAATGTAAAAAAAATCCTGCAGTCGTTAGACTTGTAAGAATGACATGAAAATCCGTTCCCTTTTCTTAACAAAGATTTCCATAGTAACCGAGGGAGATTTGATGACAGATGACATTTTTCCTATGCTTTTTGATTTGTTTTTACATTCAATCTTTGGGAAAAAAAAGTAATTATGACTCAAAACTGAGAAATTTGTATTTTCATGCTGTTTTAAATCAATATTTTCCCTGGACTGGTGAGATTCCGTTAACAGGTGCTAGTTAGCCCTCAGCTGTAATAGTGCCGTGTAATTGCCGTAGTGTCATTGTTTTCCATTTTTGCAGATATGCAAAGAAATTCTGTCCTCATTGTGCTCCGATATATTACCTTGGAGGACAATAAGCTCTCCGTGGAAACCTATAGAATTATATCTTCATTTAGAAACATTTGTGATTGTCAGATTAATTAGCTCTCTCTGTAGAAGAAATACATTACGGTTTTATATATCAAGTTCATCCCTTAGAAGGACAGACTGCGGGAAATAACCAGTTACGACATAAACTTAAGTCGTATGTTGTAATTTCATTGATTTCTTTCGTGCGCTGGATCCATTTTGTGACTATCGCATTATAGTAACGAAAATAACAAAGGATGTTTTTTCAAAAATGTAATTCATAAAAAATCAAATCAATTTATTACACTGGATAATTATATTTAAATAATTAATCAAATTTTAAAGTATTATAAAAAATCTAATTTGAGACAATTTTTTGATTAAAATGCTTTTTGTAGAACATGGTTGGTTAACTTTTGAAGAACTGTGGTTATGTAAATATCCGTCGATAATGCATCAAATGGATTGAAAATGGGAAGATTTAAGGTTCCTTCACCTTGAAGAATGAATAAAATTGTTCCGTTTTAGATTTGTTTTAAAACGCAAAACTGATATTGAGTCCATAATAAACTAATGAGCGAAATTTTTATAAACATTATGAACAACAGATACGTAGCAACCCAGTACGTATTTAAATGCATGGTCCTAAAGTCCTGGACTATATAAAAAATTCATGAAAAGCTTTTATTAACCCAAACTTAATAAATGGCACAGAAATTTTCCAAATTCTCATGAAAAATTTAAAATCAATTAGGCCTGGGTTATGTCCCAGAACAAAGACCGATCGTAACCCCGGTATTCGTGACCTCATCACAGAGCAGTCGGCAATATGGCGGCTAACAGGCCGGTGGTCATTGACTCGGGCGTTAATCAGTTGGCGGAGCTGGCGGCGCTTTGTTGCCGTGACAATAGTCGCGTGTCCTTTCATGGCCCCGTATCCGCGCAGACGACAGGACAGACGACCGAACAAATGGCATCATGGGAAATCGACTTCCAGATCCATCGGCCTGTCTGCGTGGTCAAAGTCAATTTTATGTTATTTTTATCTTTTTTCAGGGAAATTTCAAGAATTTAGAAACATTCATTTTAGAAAAAAGAATTTAAAAAAAAAAACATCAAAGATTTAAGATCACGAACTCGTTTATACCTTAAGAATTAAACAAGAAAAACAATCAAATTCCGCTGCGCAAAATTCTTTTCATTGTTTACATGTACAGATTCAGATGCAATGCAATACGAAGTACCACATGCACCACTTAGATTTGGCACTATTAAAATTTTGGAAAGCCATTCTTGTAAATAAAACTTCTTCATTCATTTGTAAACATAGGGACTGGTACAGGTTTCCTCCTTCTTTCATTTCAACCTACACAAACTTCAAAGGAATACACTCTGAAACATCCTCTCTATGTTATCCACATCTGTGTTACGTTCGATTCGTTGTTAATTGTCGAAAGCTCGCGAAAATATTTCTCTAATGCACGGCAGGTGAAGTCATTTCACTTTTTAAGAAAAACATTCAACTTCAATTAACCAAGCTAGATGGTTTTCGCAGAATGAAGATTTCCCTACCAATTGTTATGAACTGTCTAGGGCTGCACGGCTCGGTGTACCCCAGTCCCTCATCCATCAAGATGCGAACATAAATTAGCAAAACTATTCAACTTAATAGAGAGGTTGGCTGCAAAACGCATCATCTGCCTCTCTCTGGGATAATCACAAAATTTGCCTTTTTTCTATTTACTTGGTTTGCTTTGAAGAAATAAACTAAGTTTATCAATCTAATATTACTTTCCGTTTAAAGTTTTAAATATGAAAATAAATGAATCGAAGTCGCGGGGTTTCAGTTTATTAATATGTTCATCAATTCATTGTAACTTCGTGCAATGACACGTCACAGTTGTGTACTGTATAACTCATATTCCTTTCAATTTATTTTTTAAAAATGATGTAAAAATTAACCATAGATTATTAGTTGCAAAATTTGAATATTTGTTCTAACATCGCGTAAAACAAATCGTGATTTCGTACAAAGCACAATTTTTGAAATAATCTTTATCATGAAAATATCTGTGTGGGCACTTAATTTTCCTCGCGGTAGAAATTTTGTCGTTTTCCTGTTATTACCTTGTAACCTTGTACAGGTATTGTTAATCAGAGCGTATAGAGCTGTCAAAAGCACTGTCGCACGCGTCTACATTCTCCCGAGCGCGCGCGCGGCGCGTGCCTACATACTGGCGCGTGTCTCCTGATCTGATACAGCCCAGGTGCGGATTTGCTGGGGTGGAAAACTTACAACCAGAAGAAATGTTTGATTTTATCAGACAACTTATAACAAGTGTATGAATTATTAACGGCATTGGGTCTTTTATTTGGAGAGTTGATAGGAGATCTACAACGAAAGGCTAAATAATACATGAAAATTGACGTCTCTAAGTATAGAAATAGAATAGAATCAATCAGTTCGAAAGAAAAAATCAAAACGTGAGACCATTGTTGTTCAAATAAATGTCGGCTACAAATGGGACATAAAATTAAATAAAGAGGTTTCAGTTTACACGTACTTTCCGGGATGTGAAGTCACACAATGGGTTGAGTTTTAGCTGATGTGATTGAATGTTTCTGTAACAATTCGTCGATCAGTTGTGCAAAGATAATTTAAAAGCGTGGGAATGCATTGATTTTTCTAGGGTCGATGGGCATAGGATAAAAAACTGTACCAAAATCGCTAGGGCCTTGTTTGACTGCTATTGATGTAAAAAAAAAATCTCGTACAGCATTAAACTTCTTTACATGTATTTGAAATACATGGTGCGTTTTATTTGTGATGTTTGTGTAAACTGATTGAGATTTCTTTGTTTGATATAATTAAGCCTTCGGAGATCCAAAAAGTAGAGAAATAAAGAGCCATTCCGGGTATTTATTAAAAATCTCATCACCCTCACAAAGAACTGAAATGATAATGTTCCTTCTACGATAAAATGTCCTTCGGGGTACAGTGGGTACAAAACCAGAATGTCGGGTACTTAGTGGCACCACTAATGGGCCCTTGTTTAAATATTTGCACATCTGTTTGGCACCCCGTTATATCGATTTCCAAATAAAACAGTGTCTATATGTAGGATTTGCACGCAATCAAATTTTCGGAAAATAAATAAATAATACACTATGTAACAGAGAACGAAAAAGTACACAATTTTAAAGCTACATGTACATACTTTCTTAAAAGGCGTAAAATTTTGAATTTTCGTTAACAGATACTCAGATCATATCTTGTAAAATAAACATGCTGACATTCTTTCGAATTGGACACAGAATTATACTAAAAAAATAATAAACTTAAATATATTTTTCAACACTTCATTGTTGATTTTTTAATTTGAAAAATCTTAAAGGAATTTCACCAGATGTAGATCATAAATTAAAAAAATATGTTAGAAGTTAAAACTAAGGATCTATAGGTAATCATACTTAACAAATTCTGTTTTTATCTTGCTAAAGAAATAATTTGCAATAAAATTTGTTGTCATTAGTATTATATTATTAAACGTACATTATTTGAGCGAAATAGTTCAACAATGGTCTCTGTATAGCTGTAGAAGGATTTCTCTTTATTTTATTTCATTATACGATCAGTGAGTCTAAATCAAGGTAAAATTGGCATGTTTTGCCATTCCACTGCCTATTTATTGATAATATTGATCACAGTTAAACAAACAAAAAAATTACAGGTAGTGAGGGTAAAGAATAAAATATTAGCAGGTGTCCACTAATCAGAAACCGTAATACATCGGACATATGTCACTTTGTTTGTTGACCAATCAGTGGATGCGATATGTACATGTATTGTGGTTAAGTACAGACAGGTGGTCGCGCGCCGATCCAACACCTTTGATTTCTGTATGACGTAACAAATGACATTACACATACCCAACAAACGTGCAGGTGCCTCCCATAATAAAGTTTATAACAAGTTCATTACTGCTTACATTGGGAAAAAGGATAATGAATAAGGGGTGATTTTAAGCAGTGACACTGATTAAATATATTTTTTACATAATTATTTTATGACTTTCTTTAAAGAATATTATCCCTTTCCAAAAATTATAAAGTATTTTAAACGCATAGCATATTCGACAAGGAATTGAAATACGTATAAAACGATACCTGGGCATACAATGTATACTTTATGTAATCTGGCTTCCGATAGTACGGTGACCAGAAGCAGATTTTCTCTGTAGACCAGTTACATAATGTAATTCAAACCCCCGGACAGGTGACCCGC